TTCATAACTTAGCTTTTATGTCTTGTACTAATCTTGCTATATTTTGTTCTCAGAATTGTATTGTTTTATCTCTATTATAGACAGATATGTCCTTTACATTTTAGTTTCAAATTTATTATTATTAGGGTAGAGGAAAACCTATTGATTTTCAGAAGGTGTCCAGTCAGAGTTAATCTTAGGATTTTTCAGGAGCTATTGGGAAGGGATACTCACCATTTCTCCTATTTCCATTTGGTTTAGGCAGATCTTATTTTTATTTTTTTTATTAAATTAGGTGAATATGGAAATTTGAATTTGATTCTCTCAGCTGATACTGATGCTGGGAATCTCCAGAAAAATGCCAGGTTACACTCTGCTACTATCATGAGAAAAAAATTAATGTAGAATTGAACCTAAAAGAGTGCTTAAATGCTATCAAAGATGTGTAGGCTGAAGCTGAGATTGCTTCATTTAAGAGTTGAGTTTTAAGAAATACTAATACAATAAAAAATAGGGGGAGTCTAAGTACAAAATTGTACATATAAAGTAATCCAGTTTTGTGAAATGATGATGAGGCATACCTATGTTTTATTGCCTGTACAATATAAATTTGTAGAATTTAGAAATTCACTTGACAATCACAATTTTATTCAAGAAAATTTTGTTAATTAAAAACCAACACTAATTATAATATCAATAGCATAATTATGCTCTTTCACTTAAAGAAAACATTGCCTGAACCCACTATGGTGTTTTAGAGGTTTCTTTTTCTATCCATCTTGTTTATTCAGCTGACTTTTTTTTTCATTATTGGCTTCCTATTTTTTTTTCATTATTGCACAACTCATATTTTGTTTGTGTTTCACTTTTAAAATGTCATTGAGGCCAATCCACAGCTTACAAATAATTGACTATATTTGAAATTATATTTAGGGGATACCTTTGCTTTCTGTTGAAAAATGGTTGAGACTCAAGTAGGATTAGGACTTTTTATCACTCTGGGTTTCAAAAAATAATTTCCATATCATTTATTGATTCCCTTACTTGTTCTTTCATTTCACTTCATTAATATTTAATTGTGACTATGGTCCAGGCACCTTTCCAGACACAGCAGAAGCATATCAGAAAAAATAGCCAAAATTTTTGAGAAAATCAGTGTAGGAAAAAATAACTGTTGTGTTTCAACAGATGATTATACATTTTCTCTAGCACACTTTTCTAATTTTTAAAATTCTAGGGCAAAACCAGAAGAGAAATAATGGTGATAGACCAGGGAACTTCCAGTGAGAAGTGGTTAGACACTGGATATATTTTGAAAATAGAAGAAAAGAATTTGCTGGATGTGAAACAGATAGCTTGTATCAGTCATTGTCCCATCAGAAAAGATATGGCACATTAAATTAAGATAATTAGAGGTATCTACACTAATAAAAGACAAAGATGCTAATTGACCATATATTTGCTATCCCCCAAGCCATGCCCACCAGCCAATCAGAGTGACTATGTGCAAATTAACCCAACCAAGATGGCAGCCAGAAGCCACAGAGCTGGAGCAAGCAGGTGGCTTGGTTGCCCGGGTGACAGAGGAAGCCAAGCTTCCCGCCTTCCCTGAGCCAGCTGTGGCCTCTGCTCATGGCAACAAAGTTTCAATTATAGAAGATAAATAAATCCCAGATATCTGCTTCCAGCCAGCCACCACTTGGGAGCTTGGGTGGCTGGGTGCTTGGCCAGCCTGCAAACAGCCATCAGCCCCTCACCCAGGCTGGCCACACCCTCATGAGGTGAGGGTTCCCACTCCTAATGCAGGAGCTGCCCCCGGTGGTCAGTGCACTCCCACAGGGGAAGATGGCTCAGACAGAAGCCGGGCTCATGGCTTGCGAGTGCAGTGGCAGTGGTGGGAGCCTCTCCCACCTCCTTGGCAGCACTAAGGATGTCCGACTGCAGCTTAGGCCTGCTCCCTGCTGGCAAGTAGACATCCCCTGAGGGCTCCTGAGCTGCCAGAGGGCTGTCTGACTGCCAGCTTAGGCCCAATCCCCCTGGGGAGCGGGCCTAAGCCAGCAGGTGGACATCCCCCGAAGGGTCCCAGACTGCTAGAGGGCACAGTGGGGCTGAGGGACCCCTCCCCCCCCAGTGCACAAATTTTTGTGCATCTCTAGTTTTTAATAAAAGAATTATTTACAAAGACATGGGCAAGGTATAAGGAACCCCACAGAACAGTACAATGCCCCGAAGAATGAAGAGAAAATGCAGGTATTCAAATTTGGAAGCTGAAAGTTTAGTATATCAAAACAAAAACCCGTGTTCAGTGGAATTAAGACCAGCCTTACGGAAAGCATCCAGCTCACAGCTACCCCATAAGGACATAGACAAGGGGATCAATACTTTGACTTCACTCTTCTCCCTCCCTCCAATCTTCAGCAAAGGCTCCCCATTAACTGGAACCAAGTGCAAGACAAAGAACAGGGAGAAGCTTGATTTAGTTTTCATCTCATGGCACAGGTCAGCTTTCATTGTCATTAATCAAAGTATAGAAGTGTGAGGAATGGGCCTAGGGGACAATGGGAGATATTCAGGATGACTCTATAGCAGCGATTTTGAACTGGTGTGTGGAAAGAATTTGTGAAACGTGCAATACCTGACTACTTAGTCAGGGGCACTGACCTCTTTTCCTTTAGATTGTCAAATAAAAAAGTGACAACAGCCAACTCAACAATAGCCATCCAGTGTGAATGAATCAAAATTATACCTATATTTTTTGTCAGATCAGCAAAAAAATATATAATGTATTCTTTGGTGTCCTGCAGAATTTTTGTAATTAGTTTATGTGTGCCATGAGATGAAAAGGTTGAAAATCACTGCTCTACAGACTTGGGTTGAATAAAAGAACTGCGAGAAGGTGTGTGTGTGTGTGTGTGTGTGTGTGTGTGTGTGTGTGTAAAAAGGGATAGATTGAAAGAAATCAAAATTCAGTTTTGAACAACAAAGCTATAAAGTGGCAAATTGACAGATGTGAATTTTTTAAATGTATGTCAGGATACACAGGAGAAGATGGGCTGAAGATGTAATATTAGGAATTTTAAGGAGGTAGTTGCTATTTATACCCTTGGAACTAGATGAAATTACCTAGGCAATGAGTGTAGAGAAGAGTTTATTAAAATAATAAAAAGGAATCAGCAAAGGAGACAACAAAGAAATTTTTCTTAAAGGAGTGAGTCATTAGTTATGTCAAAACTTTTAATAGTGGTAGCAAGATGATTACTGAGAAATAACATTACATTTTTCAGTGTTGAAGTCATTAAATAAC